GAATACCTTGGAACAAATGGTAACTTTACATCTGCCAGGTTACGTTCCTCAAGTTAGTGAAAATTTCCATTTACAAAAAGCTACATCTATAAAGAAACTGATCCACTAGGCATTGTGGTGCAAGCCTGTAAACTCAGCATCGGTGACCTCAGCATCGGTGTGCACATGGAAGCTGAGGACATCGGTGTCCTGCTCTATTGCTCTTTCTGAGAAAGCTTCTAACTGAACCTGGAGCCAGCCTGACAGCCAGCAAGCCCCAGCCATCTTTTTGTCTCTACCTCCTACAGGACCAAGGTTACAGGTACGTGGGGGTGCACCGTGGCTTTCTACTTGGGGGCGGTGGACTCAAACTCAGGTCTTCAAGTCTGCACTGCATTCTTACCCACTGATCCTTCTCTCCACTTCCTGGCTGTTTTTTTTTTTTTTAAAGAAAAAAAAAAGGATTTTTTTTCATTTGCAGGTTTTTTGTAATAAAGTTTGTTTATAAAAAGTAGAGTGCAATTAGATTCTCATCTTACAACTCATACACATTCAATTCAAATGGACTAAATATGACAACTGAACTCTTTACATAGTTGATGAGAACATAAGAGAGAGTGTCATGACATCTGTTTGGGAAACAAATACTGTGACATGAACCAAAAGGCGCAGAAATATAAAAACAAGATTCCATAAAGCCAAAGAGCTTCCATATAGCAAATAATCTCCAGAGTGCACACGTAAGGCAGAGAATCTAAGGTTGTGTTTCAAACCCATACATGTGACAAGAGGTAAATGTCCAGAATATACCTAAGGTGAAGGACAACCAACCTGATGAAAACGGGGAAAGGCATGTCTGAAGGGAAGATACAGAATATCCAGCAGTATATTAATAAGTACATCATTCCTAATCCTGAGGCGAATACATACTAAAGATACAGAGTTTAAATCTCACAAATGACTGATGGGCTGCTACTGAACACAGAAGACTTCTTGGTGAAAAAAGAGGCCTTTGAGAACAGTTGAGGGATACAAATGTGTCTGTGGTATTACAGAGGCTCCTACTTACTGTTAAGGGAGGCTGGAACTAAAGACAGCCCAAGATAGTCTGGCTCCATATCTGCACCATTCCAGGCCCCCACAACCAAGTTCTAATGAGTTAAGCAGCATTAAAGAAACTTTGATGTACTTGTGGCTTTTTTCCCCTTGGATTCAGTTTATAAAATAATCAAATGGTATTTGCTCAGAAAGCCTCCTGAGCATCCAATACAATATTGTAGCCAAGTTAATCATATGCTTTAAGATCATTTCAAACTATGTACCATGTGCCTGGATTGTTGGACTTAACTTACCTGTAAGAAGACGATGCAATCAATCGTACCATACCTTGGAGCTCCCCGTGCAATCAGCTTTTACAAGCTGAGCGGTACCTTTAATCTTAAACCTTGTTCCCTATTTCTCCTGCATAACTTCTCCATGTCTCTGAATCAGAGCAATGGAAGTGTGTAAGGGGTGGTACTTAGGCCCGAGACCACCACTGAAAATAATGACTTGAAAGCAATGAATGACCCACAGAAAATGTGGGAAGTATAAACTTTGATAATATCTATTTGTGGCTTTGCTTGCTGCTCTGGGTCGTCAGGAAATTCAGAAAATCAAATTTCTTCAAGAAGTAAAACTCCTGCAATAGATTAAGACAAAGTTCCTCCATCCTTTCCCATGCCGTATTTGATCTGCTATTCAATAAATAGAGAGGAAGCTCATTTGTTAGGGGGACCAGGCTCACTCTCGGATAGTCTACTCAGGAGTCAGTCTCCTTTCTTTACATGGTACTGACAGAGCCAAAAATGACCTTGAAATTCTGATCTGCCTACTTGCTGAGTGCTGGGCTTACAAGCACGTGCCGACACACCCCGTCCTTGTCATTGGGAGGAGCAAAGCCAGCGGGTTTTGCATGCTGGACAAGTATTGCATCAAGAGAGCTTTATCCTCGGGTTGTACTCTCATTTCTCAGCAGTAGCTGTGAGCGATAAAACATCATGAGCCCTGGATATGGATTCAGCTTAAATCCCAGCGATCACCAGATGGATGGCTAGGAGTAACTCTGCCTGCCTGCCTTCCTTCCTTCCTTCCTTCCTTCCTTCCTTCCTTCCTTCCTTCCTCCCTTCCTCCCTTCCTTTTCTCCCCTTTCTTTGACAAGATCTCACTATGTAGCCCTGGCTGGTCTGGGACTCACTATGTAGACCAGGCTGTCCTCAAACTCAGACATTCTCCTGCCTCAGCTTCTCAAGTTCTGGGATTGAAAGTGTGTGCCACTATGCCTGTCTACTTCTTTCAATGCCTCTGCTTTCAGAGCAACAGTAGTGCTTCCCAGAACTGTTATGAAACTAAACAAATTGATCCTTTTGGAGTGCTTACCCTAGAATGTAGCTCACAATAAGCACTCTGTATATCAGCTATTGTTGCTATTATTTGGCTTCCCTTGTGTGTTTTCCATGCACTTCACAATCACCCCCCAACTATGAGACACCAAAAATTAAACAGAGCAAGTGTCACCTGTTAACAAATGACAGTAACCGTCCTTGGGAAATTCAGGTAGGTAGGAGGTTAGACAGTCCCAGCTACAGGAATGGGCTGGTCCGGCCTCCACGGAAGCCTGTCTCAGAGATCCAAAATGTGTGTGTGTGTGTGTGTGTGTATGTGTGTGTGTGTGTGTGTGCGTGTGCGTGTGTGTCTTACTTGCTACAGGTAGTGGCAAATGCCTGTAAACTCAGTGTTGTAGAGTCTGAGGCAGGAGGATGGTTTTATGCTAGCCTGCGATCCCGTCTCAGAAAAATCCGAGGGTTAGGATGCAGCTCAGCTGTAAAGTGCTTGTCTGACATGCAAAGCCCTGGATTCAGTCACCAGCGCGGAATAAAACAGACTTTGTGGTCTTGTTCTCCAGCTCTTCTAGTTCTTGGTGTGGGCTAGGTGTTATTTGTGGAGTGAATAAGTAATAGAAATGAGTGATGAAAAAAAGGGCTTTAGTTTATCTTAATTAGTGTCATAAAAACTATCAAAAAGAAAAAAATAAAACAACAAAACCCCTTTCCAAGCTATGAAGGAAGCATGAAGAATTATAGCAATTTCTTAAAACAATAACAACAAACCATTTAGGGCTGGAGAGATGGTAGTTAAGAGCTCACTTTTACAAGGGTCTTGCAAAGGACCAGTGTGGTAGTATTTTATTTGTGCTGAAGTGTGGTGATATTTTATTTGTGCGTTAATATGTAATAATAATAAAGCTTGCCTGGAGATGGAGGGGGAAAGGCCAGCCATTTTAAGTAAACAAAGAAGTCAGGCAGCACATGCCCTTAATCCCTTAGCAGGCAGGGTCTCTGTGTGTTCAAGGCTACACTAGGGAACCAACCCAAACGTAGTGACACACGCCTTTAATCCCAGTACCAACCATAGAGACCTGGAGGTCTGTAAAGACAGCGACAGAGCTGTGTAGGAAGAGGAAGTGAGGTAGCTGGGCTAAGAGCCAATGAGAGGGCAGAAAAGCAAGGCATGTAAGCCTGGGTAGACAGGAAGTCACGCTCTTTGGAAGCTGTGGAGTTGGTGAGGTGAGGTTAGCTGGTGGCTTTTCATATTTCCCTGATCTCTCTAAGGCTTTAACCCAAATTTCTGACTCTGTGTCTTTTATTTAATAAGACCATTTTGAAATTCGTCTACAGACCAGACTTCAGTTCCCATCACACATGTCAAGTAACTCCAGCTCCAGGGGATCTGATGTTCTCTCCTGGCCTCCACGGATACTTGCTCTTATGTGCACATTTCCACACACAGATACACACAACACATAATTAAAGACAAATATTTTAAAAGATTTATTTATTTATTATATATACTGTGTTCTGTCTGCATGCATGTCTGCATGCCAGAAGAGGGCATCAGATCTCATTACAGATGGTTGTGAGTCACATGTGGTTGCTGGGAATTGAACTTAGGACCTGTGGAAGAACAGCCAGTGCTCCCAACCTCTGAGCCATCTTTCTAGCCTACAAATAAATATTTTAAAATAAAATCTTTGCTTTACTTATTACATAGTGCTGAAGACTAAACCCAGGTTTGTGCATGCTGGACAAGCACTCTATCATCGGCCCTCCTTTTTCATTATTTTTCCCCAGCAAGTTTTCACCCAGGCTGGTCTCAAACCCTGGTCCTCCTGTTTCTATCTCCCCAGTTCTGTAATTACCAACGCCATCACCATGCCCAGTGAGAATGGGATTTGGAAGCTAAGACATGAGGCTAGCTATACTGGTCTTGTTTGAGCTATGAGAAATCATAGTCTCTGTCTGTCTGTCTGTCTGTCTGTCTGTCTGTGTTATAGCCACCCCCTGCCTGCCATACCCTGAGATAGGTTCTCATGTAGCCCTGTAGCCCTGGCTGGCTATGTGGACCAGTCTGGTCTCAGGTTCACAGAACTCTGCCTGCCTCTGCCCCATTAAGTGCTGGGATTAAAGACGTGCCACCGCCTTGCACAGCAACTCTCTTTTTGAACCACTTACTGAATGTATATTCCATTCCAAGTTTTCCTCTAGAGAGAGGATTTTTGTTATCTTTGGCAATAGTATCTCCGTTTTGGATCAGATGATTTATATGCTCTGGAAGTTGCACAATGCAATTACTTGAGTTTTCTATTTGTTTGTTTAATATTTTGGTTTTCTTGAGACAGGCTAGCCCAGGATGGCCTCAAACTTGTCATGTAGTTCAGGATGACCTTGACCTTCGTCCTCATGCTCCTACCTTTCAAAACAGGTATGTGTGCTAAACTCAGCTTATTGTTTGTTTGTTTTTTTGTTACTGTTAGTTTTTTTCTTCTGAGACTGCTTCAAGCAGCTCAGGCTGGCCTGGAACCCCTTTGCGAACCTTCAGAAAGGCCCCTTGGCATCACAGGCGGTCATACTCACAGTGCCCGCCAGGGGTTGCTGTGCGTCCTCCGGGCGCGGCAGCACCATCTCGCTTCCTGCAACCTGGCGAGCCCGCAGCCCTTCGCAAGGACACCGCGGAGGGGGCACATCCGCGCTCCCACTTCCTCCCGACACAGCCTGTGATTGGCTCGCAGCCTTAAGAGGAACACGTGAAGCAGCAGCTGAGGCCGGCAGAAACTTACCGGCCGTCTCCGGGTAGCATCGCACCGTACCGCGGTCATCTCCGGACAGCCCGGCCTGGGGACAATGAGGTCGTCGTGCGTCCTACTGGCCGCGCTGCTGGCGCTGGCCGCCTACTACGTGTACATCCCACTGCCCGGCGCGGTGTCCGACCCTTGGAAACTGATGCTGCTGGACGCCACTTTCCGCGGCGCGCAGCAAGTGGTGAGCAGAGCGAAGGGGATGCTCCGTGTCGCCCCTGCTCCCCCGAACGAAACCCCCATCGCTTGTCCAGGTTGCCCGTGGGCCCATTGCGGGTATCTCATTTACATCCTTGCACTGCAGTAGGGATACCTCAGGTCGCCCGTGTTCCCGTGAACGCGCATCTCCCCTCCCCTTCGCTTCTTCCGATCCCCGGGCGCTGGGGGTGTCGCGTTTGCATCTTTGCAGTTCAGTGGGGACACTCAGTGTCACCCATGCTTCCCCGAGTGCGCGCTTCCCCAGGACCCCTAGCCCGGAGGTGTTCGCATCCTTAAAGTCTGAGGGCAGATATGCGCCCGGAAACAGGTGAAGTTCTCGCCTGGCCTCTCGGTGACAGCTGTTTAACCTTTCCTAGGTCCTAAATAGCGCCCCTGCTTTCTTGGTTTTCAGTGTCTTGAGTCAAAGCCTACAGCATTTAAAAAACCACCCCGCCCCCACCCTCGTCGTCCCACCCGCAGGCAGAGGAGGAGTTAAATATTTTTAGCGAAAGGGATTGTGATTCCCCGAAGAGCAAAAGCAGGCGCGGGCAGCTTCCCAATGTCCCCAGGCCCTAGCGCTCCGTTCTGGGGCCAGGAGGAACCGTTCTGACCTTCGGTTCGCTCCCTGGCACCTCTCAGCTCAGCCCAAGAAAAGGAGGCTGGGAGGCCCGGAGGGCTGTCAAGGTCCTCCTTTGCAGGCTGTGCTTTCTGTTTGCCCGGCAGCATTTGTTTTGTGTCCTTCGATGTCGGGGAGATAACCTTGGCCTGAGCTAAGGCGATGTGGCCTTCTTTAACCTGATAGGGTGGCATTTCTCTCCACTGTACCCTGCCCGTGTAGGTTGCTTCCCCCCATGGGCAGGACAGTGTAACTGTTTGGTTTATTTCGTGGTAGGAGGATTGTTTTTATTATCAGAAGCTGTCTGCAGCCAAGGCTGAACCCCATGAGTGGATAGTATTTTTGAGTAATCTACATTATCCAGGTTCCCAACACTCCTCCACACCCAAGTCACCCTCTACCTCTGCCCGATACTGAGCCTTAATACTGGCGGTTTTTTGGTTTGTTTGTTTGTTTGGTTATTTATTTATTTATTTATTTAGAGACAAGATTTCGCTGTGTAATCCTGGCTGTCCTGGAACTCAATTCTGTAGACCAGGCTGGCTTAGAAATCAGATATCCACCTGCCTCTACCTCCTTAGTGCTGGGACTAAAGGCGTGAGCCACAACCACCCAGCTCTGTTTTTGTTTTTGTTTATTTTTTAAAGTATGTGAACATGCATTACATTTTATTATTTTTTATTCTACGTAGGGGTGTTTTGCCTGCATGTATGTCTGTGTACCACGTGGGTGCCGTGCCCAAGGAGGCCAGAAGAGGGTGTTGGATTACTTGGGACTGTATTTACAGAGGGTTGTGAACCTCCATGTGGGTTCTGGGAATGAACCCAGGGCCAGTGCTCTTAACCCATAAGCTCCAGATGGTTTTTGGTTTTTGCTTGTTTTGTAGACAGGGTCTCAGTATGCAGCTCTGTCTGGCCTGGAACACACTGAGTAGCTGAGTGTGTTCGTGAACTCTTGATCCTGCCTCTAGCTCCTAAATGCTGGAATTCTGGGCCTGGACCACCATCTAGACTTTAACAGAGTGTTGACCTGTTGGAACAATGGTGTTCTCTTCTCTACAGGCATACAAGAAAGTCAGTCTTTCCTAGAAGCCCTCATGAAGTGAGTGTGCACCTTACAAGTAACACCTTTCAAAGATTCTGGAGAATAAAGGGTGTTTACTGGGCTGGGTTGGCCATCTTTAGTAAGTCAGAATAAGGAAAGAATGCTGTATTGGCACCAACGTGCTTCATCTTTTCTTGTTTTAGGTCACTGAAGGACTCTTCCTTATAGTAATTTAGGAAGAGCCCAGGTTTGGAGGGAAGGTTTTCTTTCCCAGCTTGCCCTTCAGATCACAGGGCAAGGCTGTGCTGGCCTTCTAGCATGCTCCAACATACTCCCAGCAGCCGAGGAGGTAATGAGTGTTCTCATCTGGTGCTGGCTTGCCAGTGGGTTTTCAATCAGAGAGTGGCTCTGGTCACCTTCCTGCTAAACTGAAAATATTAGCAAGACCATTCAGACCAGATGAAAGCATATTTTACCTGGAAAGCAATGTCCCTGAGTTTCCCCCCAAACAGGGATTAGACTCAGGGTTCTGTATGTGCTGGGCAAACAGTGGACAAGTGAGCTACACCCTCACCCTGGCCCAGTTATGTTTGTGGGTCTCTCTCTCTCTCTCTCTCTCTCTCTCTCTGTGCAAGCTGGCTTGGACCTCACTATGTAGATCAGACTGGACTGGCCTTGAACTCACAGAGATCTTCCTGCCTCTGCCTCCCAAGTGCTGGGATTAAAAGTGTGTACCACCACGCCCCTCAACTGTTGTTATAATTTTTATTTGATTGGTTGGTTGGATCTCTCACTGTATGTAGGACAGACTGACCTGGAATTTACTGTGTGGGCCAAGCAGGCTTCAGATTCCTGGAAGCTCTCCATGTGGAGATTGCAGACCTGTCCCACTATGTGCTGCGTATGTGTGTGCACATGTGTTGTTGTTTGATAAAGTGTGTCATGTAGTTGAGGCTGGCTTTGTAGTCAAGGCTGACTTTAAACTCACAATTCTTCTGTTTTCACATCCCTAGTGTCGGCTTATAAATTGTTCTTTTCTTATTTTTGGTTTTCCGTATCTAGATCTTGCTACTTGTCACAGGCTGGCCTCAAACTTGTCACGTAGTTCAAGCTGGCCTTCAGCTCCTGATCTTCCTGCCTCACCTCCTCAGTGTCCCAAGAGTCTGTTTAAAAGCCTGTGGCCTGTGTGGTGGAGGGAAGCTTTTCTTCTCCAGCATGCCTTCCAAACCACCAGGGCAAGGCTGTGTTGGGCTTCTATGGTGTGCAGAGCTCCACCATAGATTGTAGGGAAAATCTGTAGACTTGTCCGTTTTGTTCAAATACAAGATAAGCTGATTTATTGATACAGGGTGGTGGTGATGACGCACACCTTTAATCCCAGCGCTAGAGAGGCAGAGGCAGGAGGATCTCTGTGAGTTTGAGGCCAGCCTGCTCTACAGAGTGAGATCCAGGACAGTCAGGCTACACAGAGAAAGAAACCCTGTCTCGAAAAACCAAAATCCAAACAAACAAACAAACAGAAAACCTAGACAGCTGTCATGATTTGGCACAACCTTGTTTGCCAAATAATTTTGGTTGAGATGGGTTGGCTCAATTAAAAAAGCAGTTGAAGTTGTTTGAGAGATTAAGCTGGGCCTACTTTCTAACATCAGGAAGTTTGAGTGCAGCGTGGTGTGGTGGTGCACACTTACTTTATCTGCAGTACTGGGGAGGCAGAGGCGGGCAGATCTCGGTGGGTTTTTTGTTTATGAGGGCATTAGCCTGTAGTTCTCTTTCCTAGTTCTGTCTTTGTGCGGTTTGGGTATCAGGGTAGCTGCAGCCTCGTAAAAAGAGTTTAGCAATGTTCCCTCTGTTTCTATGGTTCAGAACAATTTCAGGAGAATTGGTATTAGCTCGTCTTTGATATTCCGGTAGATTTCCTGGTGAGCTTCAGGCTAACCAGGGCTACGTAGTGAGACCCTGCCTAATACTAATTCCTGTAGGTCCTTCCTTGTTCTTGTCCTTGGCCTCCACCATTTCCTCACTTTTTCTTTTATCTGGTGCCCGCTGTCAGATCATGTTTATTGAGCGTTCCTTCCGTGGGGTCCTGGAAGCTGTTCAGCTCACTCACTCGCTCCCTTTTGCTTTTTGTCCTTTGTGCTTCTTGTAGCAGGGACTGGCCTTGAGCCCCTTATCTTCCTGTCTCCAGCTCCCCAGTGCCAGCACTGCCTGAACACTTCTCCTGCCTAGGTCGCACCCCCAGGCCACACTCACTCAGAGTTCTGGGGGTTTCCAGTGTTCTTAGCAGTTCTTTTCCCTGTAGTTGTAGACACCGGGGTTCCAGTCCTGCCAGGCAGGCATGGTGCCGCCGCCAAGCTGTATTTCCAGCCAGGTAAGCGGCCTGTTCTTTTTTTTTATTTTATTTTTATTTTTTTTTTTTTGGTTTTTCGAGACAGGGTTTCTCTGTGTAGCTTTGCGCCTTTCCTGGAACTCGCTTTGGAGACCAGGCTGGCCTCGAACTCACAGAGATCCGCCTGGCTCTGCCTCCCGAGTGCTGGGATTAAAGGCGTGCGCCACCACCGCCCGGCAAGCGGCCTGTTCTTTAAGAAGTCCCCAGGTGATTTCAGTTGTAGCAAGCTTGAAAACCATGGTCCTTCCAGCACTCAGGTGGTGGGGCAAGATGATTACTTTAAGTTCAAGGCCAACCTGGGGTACATTCTGATAGCTTCTGTCCAAAAAGAAAGAAATCCTCTCAAATTGTACTATGATATAAATAAGACAAAATACTGTTATGGATAATATTTATTTTGGATATTATTTGGATATACTATGGATGATATATATTTTGCTTATTAACCTATCCAGGTAATCTAGAATGCATGATTAGTTTATCAGATTAGCTGGATGATCTTCAATAGTCTAAAGCTGTGGGTCATGACTGCATATCAGATATTTACATTACAGTTCATAACAGTAGCAAAATTGCTGTTATAAAGTATCAATGAAATAATTTTATGGCTGGGGGTCAGCACAACATGAGAAACTGTTAAAGGGTCGCGGCATTGGGAAGGTTGAGAGCCACTGGTCTAGGGAATAAAATGCTAATGAGGCAGATTCAGTGTGATAGCAGAGCCCTCAGACTTGACAGCAGAAAGCACAGCGGCAGTGTGTTTGTGAAGGGCAGGAAGCAGGCAGATGAAGACGGTGCAGCTGGAGACCTGAGGACAGGAAGTTTCAAAGGTTATGTATGTAAGTGACCTGGGGTTGTAGCTCAGTTGGTAGAGTTGGCCATGCATGAATGAGGTCCAGGGTTCAATCCTTAGCACCACATAAACCAACACATTTGT